GATTGAACTTGGATTCGTCGCTGAACACGTGATTAGCCCAATCCTGACGTCCCCAGTGGAGATGAGCTCTGGCCCATGCTACGCGGGCGATTCTGTTCTTCTTGCTGATCGATGATTTCTTAGCTGGCCGTCGTCCATGGAGTCCAGCATCTTGAAGACGTCTTCTGACGGTTCTCAGGGATGGTGTGACTTCATTTGGAGTCTTCACGACCATCTGAATGTCCGTAGAACTCCTCTGGGGATCCTCTCTTGAAGCTCGGACGATGTTCCGATCCATGTTCTTCGACGTGATACGCGGTCTTCCAGGCGATTTTCGCTCCACCAAGGCTCCCTAAACATTTTTTCCATAACTATACTATTTTTGAATATTACCTCATCCCGAAACTGCTTCAAGATCTTCTCGATGGCACGTTTAGTAACATTGAACTGCTGCACCAAGAGGTCCTTGGAACATCCACTTCTGAAGCCGATGACGATGGCTTTACGGATGTCCTGAGAGATGTTTTTTTTTTCCGAGGGGTCTGGCCATGTCTGTAAACAGTTTTAAATACATAGGAGCCAAAACCAACATTCTTAGAAACCATAATATTCAAAAATATAAAAATATGAAAAAAGTGAAAAAACGAAAAAATTGAAAAAAACAAAAAATTTCTGAAAATGATGCAATTTTCTTGTACGCAATTTGTCGTCACCGTGTACGACATGCACAGTAAAATTTTCAGATCGATCCCTTAAGTTTCAGCAAAGTTACTCTCAAAAAATCGTTTGCGAATACCTTTTTGGCCAGTACTGTATAGGGGTTCATGAATTTAACATTTTTGGGAAACAATTGAAATAAGTAAGCTTTCCATCTCGGGCGAATTTCACCCGCCCGACCCGTCCGGGTGTTTTTGAAACGCCCGAATTAAATGACGTTTATTTTTACAAAAAAAAAAAGAAAAAATTGTTCAATCTATCGATGAAATTATAAGAAAAACATTTAATCAGCGTGAAATGATTGAGTTGGCCCACGAAAACGGGCGTATATGGCGGGTGTAGGGCGGCCCGTTATTAGGGCGGGTGTAGGGCGGCCCGTTATTAGGGCGGGTGTAGGGCGGCCCGTTATTAGGGCGGGTATAGGGCGGCCCGTTATTAGGGCGGGTGTAGGGCGTTTTCGGGCGGCCCGCACGAGATGGGAAGCTTAGAAATAAGTCTCGTAACTCAAGGGCACGACCTATATTTGAACACGTATATGTACGTTATTCGGTTTGATAAATTTGATAGGCATGGTCCACCGAGCACTTTTTTTTTCAAAATTTGGCATTTTTTGAATTTAATGGAACTGGAAATTTTCATATTTTCTATTTTCCTTTTTCTTTTTTAAGATGGAGCATAGATGCAGTGAACAATAATGCTTAGCAACTTATCATCTTTTGAATAAGAAAAAAGTTTAAACATCTACCATGCAAATGAACAGAGTTATGGTTGCTCGAATGGTACCGACTCAGAACCCACGAAAAATCATAAAATACCTCGTCATTTGAATAGACCTTCACGAGGGCCGCTGTAATTTCTAGGTTTTACTAGGTAGTCTGTGTACTGCTATTTAACATAGGTTTCATCAAAATCCCAGTGTAACATTTGGGATACTTCCCGTGTTAGTCGGAAAAAAAGTTCGGGAAAATGTTCAAAAAAAATAAATTTCGGGAAATTTTTTTTTCGCGACCAATTTTTCCATACCATTTTTCGCGACCTAAAATTTACAAATTTCCTCATGTGTTAGTGGGATGATAAAATAGAAGATTTGGTAGAGGGATTGGAGGAGTTGTTGGTAGATAACCTTGAGAAAATTTGGACCCTATGGGAATCTTCCCATAGACTAGCATCTCAATCCAGTGTTCATATCCCAGCCAAGGGGAGGTGCTAAGAAGGTAGAGACCAACGTTTCTCAAGGTCATCTGGATGACCTGCCTCCTCCTGCCATCCCCTCTAACACATCTTCCATTCGAACATTCCATTCCTTCTTCATACCATGCATCTACCTGCCAATCGATTCAATGTTCCTCAACTTCCAACTTTAGTTTTTCAGAACTTAATGGAAAACTTTAACCCTATTGAATTGTGAGTTGTTCTTCATCAATATCTATAAAAAACTAATTTTCAGGTTCAACATCTCCCAATGCTCTAGAAAAATGGGAAAGAACATCAAACTTGCTGGAACACGAAAATACATATAGAGGTATTTTATGATTTTTCGTGGGTTCTGAGTCGGTACCATTCGAGCAACCATAACTCTGTTCATTTGCATGGTAGATGTTTAAACTTTTTTCTTATTCAAAAGATGATAAGTTGCTAAGCATTATTGTTCACTGCATCTATGCTCCATCTTAAAAAAGAAAAAGGAAAATAGAAAATATGAAAATTTCCAGTTCCATTAAATTCAAAAAATGCCAAATTTTGAAAAAAAAAGTGCTCGGTGGACCATGCCTATCAAATTTATCAAACCGAATAACGTACATATACGTGTTCAAATATAGGTCGTGCCCTTGAGTTACGAGACTTATTTCTAAGCTTCCCATCTCGTGCGGGCCGCCCGAAAACGCCCTACACCCGCCCTAATAACGGGCCGCCCTATACCCGCCCTAATAACGGGCCGCCCTACACCCGCCCTAATAACGGGCCGCCCTACACCCGCCCTAATAACGGGCCGCCCTACACCCGCCCTAATAACGGGCCGCCCTACACCCGCCATATACGCCCGTTTTCGTGGGCCAACTCAATCATTTCACGCTGATTAAATGTTTTTCTTATAATTTCATCGATAGATTGAACAATTTTTTCTTTTTTTTTTTGTAAAAATAAACGTCATTTAATTCGGGCGTTTCAAAAACACCCGGACGGGTCGGGCGGGTGAAATTCGCCCGAGATGGAAAGCTTACTTATTTCAATTGTTTCCCAAAAATGTTAAATTCATGAACCCCTATACAGTACTGGCCAAAAAGGTATTCGCAAACGATTTTTTGAGAGTAACTTTGCTGAAACTTAAGGGATCGATCTGAAAATTTTACTGTGCATGTCGTACACGGTGACGACAAATTGCGTACAAGAAAATTGCATCATTTTCA